TAACATCACTTGGTGGATAGTTATCGGAAAACAAAGAATTCTCTATTGGATCTCCGGAAATAACCTTAATGGTCCTAAATTACATCTCTCTGGGTGGTAATCTGACATATGTGGCTGTTTCTTCGCTTCGTGATATTTTATTTGGTGTTCGTTGCCGCTGTGAGAAAATATTGCGATCTGTGTGTATGTGCTGTCTTGTTATAGAAAGGGAGAGTAAGAGAGAGAAAGCGATTAGAGCAAAAATCGTGAATGCTGTAATATAATGTTAAAATGTTTTGGGGGAAGAATTATCGAAAAAAGATTCCGGGTCGAGGCTGGAATTTGCATATTGAATGACCAACCTTTATAACAGCACACGCACACATATACACACGCACACACATACATAGACACTCATATTAACATACATATGTTCATAGATATGGCATATTTTCATAAACACGGTCAATATATACTACTCCTATCTACACACACGAAATTATTATTCCTGAAGCAATTATTTCCATTTCCCTCAAAAATTATGAAACGGGGGAAATTCTGAATTTAAACAGCAACAAAGAACAAGGAACGATTTAGTTTCAACAGACAACCCACTGTTGCGATTCAAGGTAAAGTTGCTCCCACTAATGACAGAGTACGATCATTAAACCCTCAATGGTCGACGTTAATGTTGAAATCCGAGCTATTTTATACCATAAATGACAATCATTTTTCCTTTTTACAAATGATAGGGAAAAGTTATCGACCGGTTCTCGGAAATCATTTCAATTAATCCCGGTCGGGTCGATGCTTCTCCTGTATGAACGAAACAAACGGCTAAGCATTTCGATATGAATAACGTTCACTTATTCTTTTTCTCTCGAGTTCTATTTGTTTCGCTAATATTTAATTTAGAACAAACATCATAAAGCAGAGTACATACCCCGAGTTACGAATTCTGAGCAACTTTATTCAAACAGCTGTGCGAGTGAGTTTCCCTGCTGCTTATAATGGCGGATGTCAAAATTAAAATACCGACCCTATGATAAATCCCTTCCATTGTACTCGAAACACCTGTATGTTCTCATCGCTTATAATGATATACTTTACCGTAATATTTATATAGGGTAATTTGGTTCAGAGTTGATATATCTGGCTCAATGGACTCTTCTCGTATTCATTTACCTATGTAATCACGTTCTCTTCTCTTAAGGCCCCTCCCCCCCCGCCCCTACTCTCTCCATCCCTCTCACTGCCTGTCTTTCTGTCTGTCTGTCTCTAATTCTGTCCGACTGTCTGTCTGTCTCTGATTCTGTCCGACTGTCTGTCTCTATGTCTCTCTCTCTCTCTCTCTCCTCCCCTTTCTGCCTACCTCTCTGCCTGCCTGCCTGTCTCTCATTCTGTCTGCCCCCCCCCCTCTCTCTCTCTCTCTCTCTCTCTCTTTCATCACGAATTCTCGGGTCTCTCTATTTTGTAACACTTTACGTGCACTTTACAAACTATAATTTGAGGAGTTTGTTTTTTGTCTAAACTCAAAAAACTTTTTCTTTATAAGTGTATTTTTCTATCCTTATGAAATAATCAACTCTCCTCTAAGGTTGACAATGAAGGAGTAAATACGTGCGCACATACACACAAGTATTATCATACAACAGGGCTACTAACAACAGGATTAACAATAATAATAATCACCACCAAGAAGAACCAATACTAATGTTAATAATGATACAGATAATACAGTTAATATTACCTACTAATAACGTGCATAACGCTAAAATTCCCCATATATAAACTGCATAAAGCTAAAATTCCCGTCTAATATCCGGACAGAAAGCTAAAATTCCCTGCTAATGACATATAAGCACAACTGCCTTCCGCTCTCCCGAGGAAAGTATATAATCGGTCC